GATATAGGAAGGTTTGGCTAATTATCTTTGCTACTTTTCATCCTGTATGTATGTGCGAATGTGTGTGTTAACGCCTATACGCAATACTGGACCTAAATCAGAGTGATCAAAAAGGGCTAATGACCGTTTTCATCAAGGCTTACTGACCCAAGAACATGCCCTGTTATAACCTATCAGTTTAGGGTCATTATGGTTTGATCACCAAAGAAAAGACATGACTGGACCTACGTAATCTCATACGCCTGGTTTCTTTGATGATCTTAATCTAACATGTTAGACAAATGTGAGTGAAGTTAGGATAATCATTGAACGGACAATTCGAGTCGATTTCTTTTGGATGGCGGCTCAACACCTCTCTTTCAATCTATCACTCAAGTATAAGTAGTTCTTACTCAACTTTATTTCATCATTCCTCACATTCAACGTATTCCCTAATCTATTAATTTGAATGGCAGTCGTACCAAAATCAGCAAACTTACTAGTTTGAGATCATTCCATCTCATATCTTGTCTCTCGTCTGCGTTCAACCTCTGACCGTTGGACCCAGCTCCCTTTGCATGCATTTTTGTGTTACTCAAATCTTTGTCTAATAGGCCGATATGTTTCATCAAAATAAGGCCGAACATGGTAGCCCACAATCTTATATTATCTGGATCTTGATAATGAGTGATATTTTCTTCTAAAAGATGACGTAATCGAAGAAAGTGCGAAGGTTTCTCTAATCTTTTTTTTCTCTCACTCAACTTTTCCGATCAGTGATGCTTCTAACTCCATTCACACTCGTACAACATTTTAGATTAAGCTCATCAACCAAATCAGACCTACCAGATTACGCAGCCCCTTGGGTGGTCATACCTAAATGTCACTAAACTGAGAGGTTAAGGCAAGTGGTTTCGTAGCCTGACTTATACCTTAACTATACTTATTTACGGACTTACGCAGTCTCGGTCAGAGCTTGTTCTTGTGGTATTAAGCCTTGATGACCAGAGCCTGACATTAGTCTTTAATAATGACTATGTTTTAGATCCGATATTGCTTATAGACGTTAATACACACACTTGATAAAATGTCGCAATACAAGTATGAAAGATAATCAGTCAAATCATGCCTATTCATTTTCGTTTTTAGGTATATATATATATAAGGTAAGATAGGGCCGGAGTGTCTTCTTTACTTGGTATATGAGATGTATTCACACTATTTCGTTCAAAGTGATGAAGGCCTTGTAGTTGAATTTTTCCACAATGATATGGGTAGTGCTGATGTATTCATCTCATTGTGGTAAAATTCTACTACCAGTCCTTCATTACATTAAACGAAATAAGATGAATACATCTCATATAACTGATTTACTGGTAATCTCTAAACTTTACCTATACACGGACAATTCTTGACTTGGTGTTTGTTATCTCGAGACTTTTGCACGAATGAGTTCCAGCTCTGATGATGTGCATCATACGGTGGACGAAATATCAGCCCGCTTTCGCCTGAAACGAGGGAGGATGTCTTGGGGATTGCGCCGACGTGAACGCCATATTAAAGCCAGACGGTTGCAGTACAACGAGCTTCACCCATCGTCTTCTAGTGATATCAACCTACTAATCTCTTCTCCATGCACTTTCATACGAAAGAAGGCCTTCCCAACGATAGTTATATTATGTTGTGGTTTATTATACCTTTCTATTTTTCCTTCTAATTATTTTGTAATAGCATTTCGTTTCTTGCTTTTGAATAACTTATACCTTATCTCATCGTGAGTTTCCGTTGCTTCCTGCAAGCTGAATAATCTTTTTACTGAAATTATTTCATTTTTACTTGGCTCCTCTTTTGTGCATCCTATCTAGAACTAAACTGCCTGCTAAACACGTCGATCGTTTTCTCGACCTTAGCCATTCCATTTTGCACTTTAGCAATCGGCTGCGATCAGTCATCGCTAGCTTAACTAAAAACCTTCCTTTTTATAAATCTTTGTGACCTAGCTGTCTGTTTTTCTTATTAGCCTATAATAAGCAATGTCATTCCGAAGATGTGGCTTCTATTGCTAACAGAAGAGACACTTTCATACATGCCTCATGGATCGAACGCATTCATCATTCCTTATTTATTTGCAGGTTGCACTTTCGCTGCTAAGCGACAATAAATTTTAATATCCACATCCATGCATTTTGATTCCTACTAAGTTTGGTATCCACGCCAACGCTTGTTTCATGAGAGTCTCATCTTGAAGCAAATTCTTATTATTACTTAACTAGATTGGTCTTTCCCTCCTGCATAGTTTCTCAGATTTTTCGTATAACTCTGCCTAACTAGTTTAATTGCTTGATTCATATAAGTTATAGTTAACAATTGAAGATTGTGCAGTAATTTATGAGCCTCTTTTTGTTAATAATATAGTTAATTTATGCTACAAATTAGGTCACCTTGTTTTTCGCCCAGCCTGATTAACCTCTGCTCGTTAGGTGCTTATCACCTCTAGCCTACTTCTTTCTAGACACACACGCCATCTGGACAGGATAATTCTCGGTATGGATCTGTTTTAGCTGGGGAAAAGAATAGATTCATTGTTATTTTTATGGAAGGAATAGCATCGAAACACAACCCTTTCTATTTCGCCCAAGCTGGCATATTTTTTGAGTGAATATTGTTCATTTTATTACTAATTTGCACATAGGTTACTTTTCTGTGGATTCACACTACTTCTTGTAAGGTTTGAAATCTCCCAGGTCTCCATTTATCCCCTATAGTATAACTCTTTTTTCTACCTTCAACTCTGACATCTGTATACCTTATTTTTGTATTTTTTTTACTTTTCTATACACCAGACTCACGGAAATTGTACTTTCCGATCGCTTCAATGGGCATGGTTTCTCTAGAATAATTTCGAGTTATCGCTAGTATTAGTCGTCATTTCCGTTGCCAGATAGTTTCACTTCTTAGAAGGATATTTACACTCATTATAGTGAGAGTACAAGTAAATAAGTACCATTTTCTTTGTAGAGGGCGGTATGAGAGAAAATTCCGTATGGAATAGGTTCGATTATAGGTTTGATGTGTCTATGCTGTATTCAATTAGAAAATTCCAGTTCCATTGGTGAAAGCATTCTTGACTATGATTACTTTTTATCATCTTCAATTCAATTTTTCTTGTTGCTATGTTGTTTTGGGCTTCTACTCTATTCAGATTTTTGACTTTTATGCCAGGAGAGCTTCTTCTTTGGGTTAGTAAGTCGAATGACATTTTCATTTTATGCACTTTGTATAGTAATTAATGCATTTTACGTTTTCAATGGTATATCTCTCATTTTATTTTTTTGCTTTTAATGGCTTTTTGCTATTCGCCTTCGCATCTTTCTGGTATATACAAGTTACCTAATGTCTGTTTTCAAATTTACCCTAGCGGTCTCCTTGATCCACGCACTGGTGCCACCCCATTACACGTTGCCGCATCTAAGGATTACTCCGATGTAATAGAAGCCTTGCTCAAAGTGCCCGGCGTTGAGGTTGATGCTGTTGACGCTGACGGATGGACACCGCTGCATGCAGCAGCACATTGGAGCAAGGAAAATGCGGCACGTCTGCTGGCTGGTGCCGGTGCTAGCTTTGATCGACTCACTCTGGCTGTAGGCTGCCTTTTTTATCAGACATTCTTAATTAACTCGTAGATATGAAGGCAAAGGTTGTGTGGCCCTTTCTTTGGTTGTAGTGTCCTTCAGTTGTATAGTCTTGGTTTGACTTCGTTTGCGCAATTTGGTTTAAGCGACAGGGAGACATTGTAGAGCGTACCTAGTCCTTCGTCCTCTGCCATAGCATTTATTCATGATGCTTTCAATTTTCAGCCCGTTAATTTGGTACATCCCCAGACTTCGCTGCATCTTCAATAAGAGGCGCTATTCTCGCCATAGAGTTTGATAAGTCGTAACTCTGTGCTAAAGATGACGCTTCTAACTGACAATCCTATGGCAGAGGAGTTAAAGCTATGTACATTTCACAAGGTCTTCCTGTCCAAGTTGTGAAAACGAGGTTAAGCCAATAATCAATTAAGTCTCTTAGACTGTCATAAAGAGGAAGGATGTATGGATTGAGCTTACTTAAAGCAATCAAATGAATTACTTTACTTTCAAATATACGATTTCCCCTCGTATTATTTTATCAAAAAGCACGTTCCCTTC